CTAATCGTTCAGTCGGCGGAGCGGTCGAAAACTTAGATTCCTTAATGTTAGTTTAATTAATTTTAAAAGCAGCACTAATTTCTTAGCATATTTGAAGTCAACTATTCAAACTATTAAAATTTGCAATTGCTGTATAAAGATGCAATCATTAGAACAGGAACTCTCTTACTGCACGTGGAAAATGAGAAAATAATATTTAGAACGGATCAAGGGAAAAAGATGACAGTTGATGAATTTTGGCTTTTTTTGTTTATTTAGTTTATAAGTATTTTAAAATTTAAATGTTCTAATAAATTGATTGCTTTTAAAACCGAAGTTTGATCAGTTATTGTGAAGTACTCATTACTCATCTAGTTGCATGTTCTTTTTTTTTCAAGTATGGTAATTAAGGACCGCAAGGCTCTTTCATACTATCTTGTTTTAAATCTCGCATATATCACAGCAGTTGACAATGAAAGTAGCAGATTAGGCATAATATTTCATTTAAAAAAACTTCTAAATGGGCAATAAAACATACGTATGTAATCAAATACATTTCAAAAAAAGTATTGGTTACCTTTATTGTTTTCCAGAAACATCACAAAATTTCTTCAACCCTTGTAAGGGGAACAAAACATTCTGAAATCTAATGACTTTTTTACTTAATTCACAGACGTAATTTTTTCTCACGAAACAATATATTACAGAGTAGAGTACAAGCATTTTTACAGTTGCTTTACTTATACTCGTTTTGGATTGCTTAATAAATGATAAAATAGCATCAGCAAAACAACTAGAGTAAAAAAATTCACTAATCGAAAGATAGCCCAATCAAAACTATTCATCCCTGAATTTCGCTCCTTGTGAACGACGATGAGTCTAACATTTTCAGACTCATTCCTGGTAATTCCCGCAGCATGTTTCTCCAACATATTTATGACATCTTCACTAGGTGTCTTGACATGAGACGTCTTGACATGAGACATCTGAAAAAAGAATAATATGAAGTACAAAATTTGAGATGGCTAATATTATCTGTAACAGGTATTTTATAACAGATACTAAATCGTTTTATAACAGATACTAAATCGTATGTTGTTTCTTTAGATATAGAGATTGGGTTCAAAAATCAACTAGCTACTTCCAATTTCTGATTCAAAATATTGTGTAAAAGTTGTAATCACTATATAATATTAAGAAGAACTATTATATATTAAGAATTCTCACTCCAATGTTTTGTTTCCCATTTTTACATCTGAATTTACGATTATCAATGTTCAATTCCGTAGTCTTGCAATTTTGAACCCAATCCAGAAAACAAGAGAACTCTAGTTTGTCCCATTCTTGAGCAGTGGGACAAACTGGACTTCGTTGAAAACTTTTTGATGGAACTAACTCGCACTTGCGTTACGTGGAGATGAAAACCACGGAAGTTTCCAATGATTTACCCAACGGCAAGGGGATTGTAACCCATTATCCATCCAACATTGACTGAGGATACTTTAGGTCAGCACTGTGATCGATGCGAATCGGGTACAGAATTCTAATTGAACCGTCAACGCTGTTATACGGACAAAACTTTTTATTTCATTCAAAGCGTGACAAAATGACAATAATTTTTTACCAAACGGGTTAAGCGCCCTTCTATGGAAATCAAGTTATCTTAACAATCTTATCATAAAAATTATCTCAACAATCTTTTCTATAGTTTAATATTGTAAATTTATTACAAATACATTTAATTACCATGTTTGTAAATAAATATACACGTTTTCAGAAAACTATCTATGACAACGCGTTCTTAAATTATTTGCAGTTGCTGTTGTTGATTTGTAATGCAACGTGCCAATACCATCAAGCCTGCTTGGTAAAACCAAGCGAATTTAAGGCAGAGGGTGCGTTTCATGTTTTTCGGTGGTGCCATTTATGGCCACGAATACGACTGCAGTCACACACATGACCTGCTCTTTTATATGGCGGACCCATTCATACATCCATTCATTCATCAACAGATCGTAATTTTGACCTGAAACAGAGAACGATTAATCTCCAATTCAGTACGATGATTTGTTATGGTAGAATGGAGTACATTGTGACCTGACATATTTAATGTGCACCAGTCACTATTTACAACAGTAGGAGTTTTCAACCAACGGAGATCGAACTAACGACCTCTTGGACATGGGCCGAACATCCTAACAACCAGGCTATCCGAGACTATATTACTTTCGTATGACAAATACATTTGATTTAAATTAAAACAATGTCCAACAAAAAATGTTTTAATAGAAAAATTGTAGAAAATAGATTTACCGTTTAAGAACTGGCTTCCAAGTGTTCAATGCTTCAGATGGTATAAAAGAAATATATCCTGAAGTTCCTGAAATGTATGAAAAAATGAATATTTTCATTAAACACTCACAGAAGAGTATCTAGAACTCCAAAATGCAAAACAAAACAGCAAATAAAATGCAAAAAATACAAGTGAATATACTATTGAATACACTATGTATGCCTCTAAGTGAATATACTTCACTTCTTAGTTGAGTTTTCGGGAGAATAAATCAGCTTTCCTCCATTGCATTACTTAAAAAATCTGATTAATTAAATTGTACGAAAAACTGCGAAAGAAAATTTTTCATTTACTTAAAAACTGGATTGTGCCATGCAGAAATAGAAGTGGCTTAGTCAACGAATATATCCGTTCAAGATGCTGACACGGTCTTAAAGCAAAAGAATGCTCGAAAATTCTACTTTCTAATCAAGTTGAAATTTAAAATGTTATGTAAATTAGAATCGTAATTTCAGCCTGTAAATACCAAATTAGACAGCTTTTCAACTAATTTAACTGTAACCAAGTCATCTGACATTTCGTACCAAACTAACAGCCTTAATAACAGTTATTGCGTTTGTGATAATATGATATTTTTTTCTTTTAATTTCGTTCATTTATTTTTTTTACTAAACACTTACTAAAAATTTAAATTAAAAAATGCACAGTATTTTTTCCTTTGTTAATACGTTTAAGAAACTGTTGATTGACTTTCATAGATTTAATTTCTATCTTATAAGAGACAACATTTTTGCGGAATCAAATATTTTAACGACAAAATGCTTGAACGGAGGTAGATCATGGTAGTGATCTTTGAACAAAGTCAACGAGTGAGCGTGATTTTATGGAAATAAAAATTAGTAAACATAATGTATATTCAAAGACTAGAAAAATTATTTTTTTGATGGAATGAAAGCAATCATGAACTAGAAGAATTTTCTATTACTTAAACTTTCATTCTGAAATTATAGTAATATAACCGACAGCAGTCTGTCCATCCGAATAACCGTAAAGTTTACGGTGAAGAACATTTTTATATTTACGGTTTTGAGCTTGTTTGCAACTTTTATGGTTATAAGACCATGAATATAGAACTGTACGGTTTTTTAACCATTTACAGCAAGCAACACTTCGAAACATTATAAACGAAATTTAACCAGACATAGGAGCTGGGCTTTTCGCTAGGCAATAGGCATTGGAGAGCTCAGGAGATTAGAAATCCGCCGCGTGTTTAAGAGAATGAAGGAAATAATGGTGGTGTCAACGCTGGGATTCGAACCCCAGTTCTGTTGGTCGTGAAACTGAGAACTTAGCCCTCTCGATCATGCGTACGCAGTTGCAAGGAACTAAATGGCTTCATTTGGTGGGCTTAGTTGATGCGATATAATTTTAGTTGTTTAACCGTATTGGGTAAAAGCAGTTAGTAAACGAGTTTTTTTTTTCAAAACTACCAGTTTAATTACCATCTTATTTATGATTATTTAGACTTTTTTATTTAAATATGGTAAAATAAAAATTAATTAAATTGCTATTTAAACATTTTTTCAGAGAAATTTCTAGCATTGTATCTTGAGCGATAGTTGATTCGAAATTATATATGAAAGAAATTCTTCTTAATCAGTGTAAAAAGACAATGTGAAGAAAGATATTAGAATATTACAAAATCAACCAAATTGCAGCAACGTGGAAAAATTGACAAAAAAGGGGGAAATCTATAATACAGACAACAGATCGAGTACAGGCAAAATGGGTGTATAAGAAAGTAAAGAATGAAACAAAAATGCAATAAATTGGGAATATGCTGATAATAACTAAAATAAAAAAATTTAAATATCCAATTATTTTTCTCAACAATAAAATCCTTAACATCGGTAAATTTTTGTTTTCATCTAAGATAAAAATATGTGAGTTCAAAATCAAATTTTATAAAGATTAATTTAAGAAAGATATTTAATATAATTATTTTAAACATTTTTTTAAAAATTTATAATATTTTAGAGTTATAATACATAAATTACATAAATATATAAAAATTATATTATTTCTGCAAACTTTTAAAAATAAGTAGTAATTAATATATTCAGACGTGCCAACTCTCCCGCATTTTGCGGGAGTCTCCCGAATTTTGAGTTATTCTCCCGCCCTCCGGAATTGATTTGAAAAACTCCGAATTTTACTGCGATCGACGGCCAAACTCAAAATTACCTANACTATAGCTTAACTATATTTCTCTCTAGTAATACTCTATGATGAAACAACTAAATGACTTAATTTAAAACTGAAAATTTTTATTAAGTGTTGATCCATTTCTTATTAATTTTAAAAATTAATCGGAAAAAATGAGGCTTGCATTATTTATATACTTATATACTTTTTTATTTATTTATTTATTTTATTTATTTACTTAAAATAATTTCTTTATTTTAAATAATTTATTCACTTTAAATAATTTATTTACTTTTTATTTACTTAAAAGCAGACAATAAACAAAATCAAAAATTGAGGCAGTGGCATCTACGATCATTTTTTCGACATTTAAAAAATTATAAGTCGTTTCACAAGAGCTATAAAATCTAGTGTCATAAGCTTAAAAGTATATTTAACAAAAGTAAAAAAGTATTTGAAAAGTAATTCTTTAATGTCCTTCTGTTTCCTATATACGAAATTCTTTATTATTTATTGATCTACACTTTTCAATTACAGTGAAAGCTTTTAAGAACATTCAGGTTAGATATAGACGTTATTCATATTGATTTTAAATTGATTCAACTATTTAAGGATATATATTAAAAATAATCTATTTTGCTATTTGGATCATGATTCAGTTCGTAATTAAGTTTGTTCTAGGAGTTGTGGCTTTATTACGTAGTAGCAATGTTTATGCAATGATCACATAGTAGCAATGATCACATGATAAACCATCGTTCATGTGGTCCTCTGCGGAAAATTTTAATGAAGACTTAGTTAATTTAATAAATAAATTGTGATTTCATTGCTTTTGTAAACACAACATTTTACTCAATAATATAATATATTTTACTTCGACTGAAGTACAATAATCTAATTTATTATTTTGAAATATATACATAATTTATTTTAGACGATGTTTTACTTAATTCTTTCGCATGGTCAAATATTTTTTTCAATTTTAAGATATGTTTGAGTCATCTGGAAAAATAAGACCATTTTCAAGCATGTTTCATCACGCTGATTTTTAGTACAGTAAAATAAACACTTCAATAAATAATATTTTCAATGCCATAAAAGGAAAAGAAATTTATCAAAATTAAAACAGCTGTTCAAATGTTTGATTTTCGTCCTTAAATCAGTGAAATATATTTATTTTAGTCAAACCTTGCGAATTATTATCATTGCGAATTAGCCTTGCGAATTATTATCATTCTTGATTGCGAGTTGGCGATGTAATTTTCCACTGTTGTTGTGAGTTTGGCAAACGTTTTAATGTACATTAGCTCTCTCTCCAAAGAGCTGATGTTATTTTTTCAACTTGTAACGCAATATCTAAATAAATTTAAACAAAATTAATCATTTTCAAGGTAAATTGCATGCTTCAGGTGTTACATTTTAGAGTTTGTTTACATCAAGGAAATGTTATAAAATTGTGACAGGTTGTCACGTTATGATTGGGATATTATGAATGTTATTAACTTCAATCATAAAAAAGTTATTGATCAATATTGAGGACTTTGACTTTTCTATTGTAGATAGAATTGAAACAATAGGATCTGTTTTGTTTTTTTGTTTTTTTTTTTTTTAGAAAACTTATATATTTTCTATGTTGATTTAGTCTCAGTTTTCTTTACTTTGTCTCTGTGAAATAAGAAAACAACAATATTTGAAGGATGAGTTATTTATAGTAACTATATCACAGAAAAGAGCAAATTTTGTGCTCGTCCAAATCCTATAAACATTAGTTTTGTCTCAGAAATAGAAACNATTTATTATTTTGAAATATATACATAATTTATTTTAGACGATGTTTTACTTAATTCTTTCGCATGGTCAAATATTTTTTTCAATTTTAAGATATGTTTGAGTCATCTGGAAAAATAAGACCATTTTCAAGCATGTTTCATCACGCTGATTTTTAGTACAGTAAAATAAACACTTCAATAAATAATATTTTCAATGCCATAAAAGGAAAAGAAATTTATCAAAATTAAAACAGCTGTTCAAATGTTTGATTTTCGTCCTTAAATCAGTGAAATATATTTATTTTAGTCAAACCTTGCGAATTATTATCATTGCGAATTAGCCTTGCGAATTATTATCATTCTTGATTGCGAGTTGGCGATGATATTTTCCACTGTTGTTGTGAGTTTGGCAAACGTTTTAATGTACATTAGCACTCTCTCCAAAGAGCTGATGTTATTTTTTCAACTTGTAAAGCAACATCTAAATAAATTTAAACAAAATTAATCATTTTCAAGGTAAATTGCATGTTTCAGGTGTTACATTTCAGAGTTTGTTTACATCAAGGAAATGTTATAAAATTGTGACAGGTTGTCACGTTATGATTGGGACATTATGAATGTTATTAACTTCAATCATAAAAAAGTTATTGATCAATATTGAGGACTTTGATTTTTCTATTGTAGATAGAATTGAAGCAATAGGATTTGTTTCTTTTTTTTTTTTAGAAAACTTATATATTTTCTATGTTGATTTAGTCTCAGTTTTCTTTACTTTGTCTCTGTGAAGTAAGAAAACAACAATATTTGAAGGATGAGTTATTTATAGTAACTATATCAAAGAAAAGAGCATATTTTGTGCTCGTCCAAATCCTATAAACATTAGTTTTGTCTCAGAAATAGAAACAAGAATTCTAAATAATACCAACACTACCACTTTTCTGAAAATTAATAGAAAAATTTATTAACTCTCTTCAAAAAATTTCTGATATTTACAGTATTCGCTTTCCAATGAGTTAATAAACATAAGAATTTCTTCCTAAAAGAGATTATTTAAAAAAGATATTCAAAGAATTTACTTTTAGCAAAAGATCAGCAAAATTTAGAAAGAGAAAT